TAGCTAGGGGTCTCCTAACTCTTAGGGGATCCCTTAGCTAAGGGAGAGACGTGAATACGACCCTAACTCTATTCGAGGATCGAGTTTCTTTTGGACGACGACACGGACGAACGAACGTACGGCGATGGGCGTACGAGTACCGAAATCCTCATGCGATCGCGGTGGCGTCTGCATCGCCCCGGGGACGCAGCGAGTCGCCCCACTCGCGTGCCGAGAACGCATCGTCGGTTCGCGAGCCTCGCGGAAACCGGAAGGGTCCACCGAAGACTCGTCTCCGCGCGGCCGAACCGGGTCGAACCCTCATCCCGCCGTGGTAGACCCTCCGATGGATTTCCGTTCCGAAAAAAAAAGCAAACGGAGGACGAGCGGAATCGTCGGTGGGGCGCTGCAGTCGATTTCGAGCGATTCGGTCGAGTCCACGGACGCTTTCGTTCGACCGGTCGAGTCACGACCGCGACGTCCGTGGACGCGATCGAACGCGGCTCCTTCGCTCGACTTCCGCTCGTCTCCCGACGCGGGCTCGTTCTCTCGCGCTCTCGAACGGATACCGAAGAAACGCGTGGGTCCGGAGCGACGGCGCCCGGTCGCTCGGGTCTTCCGAGTCGCGTTCCCGTCGAGGATCCGAAAGAGTCGGCGGAGGGGCCTCCGTCTCCGACGACGGCGACTCTAAACGAACGAGTGGAAGTTCGTTCTAAAATGTCGCCGATCGTCGGTCCGGGGAAGGAAGAGACGGAGGTGAGAACGGATTCGGATCGGGATTGGCTGCTCTCCGCCGCGAGGGGACGGCCGAGGAAGGAGCAAGAATCTATCCCCCATCCCATCCCTCCCCGTGTCATCCTCCTCCCCGTTCAGTCGTCGAGCGATACTCCACGCGAGCGTGGTCTCGTCGTTCTCTCTCTGCCGCTCTTTCGTCTTCGTCGGATCGACCGTCGCTTGGGATGCCACCGTGAAGCGAAGCGAATCGCGAGTCGAGCGACGACCCGGAATCTCCGGAGTTCCGAGTGCCATGTGACGCGGCGGGTCCGCGAACGATACGGTGTACCGGCGGTGCGGACGCGACATGCCGACGGGTTGGATCTCGACGCCCTCGTGTCGCTGCTTCTCCCTCCTCCTCCTAGTCGTCTCCTCGCCGCTCGCAGACGCCATCCGATGGCTGTGAGTCCCGTTCCTTTCCGTTTCCTCGCATCGCATCGCACCGCGACGCCGCCGAACGGCCCGACGGAGAGAAGAACTCGAAGGGGGGCGTGGGAACGTTCCTCGGGACGCGAGGATCGCGGCACGAAGGGCAACCGGCGGCACGTCTCAAAAGTCCTCCGGATTCTGCCCCATTAATAAATACCAGCCGTGGGAGATTCGCTTTCTTTCCCAGGTCATAAAAGAGGCCTTTCTTCTCTTTTTTTTTCTCCCCCTCCTCTCTCGCGTCTTTTCCTCCTTTCTCGCTGCCTTTGTTTGGCATCACTGTCATTCCGGTCGCGAGTTTATGGGACCGGGTTTCCCCGTCTACAGGTATTCGGAAAGCGAGCACGACGGAGCGAGACGAAATGAATGCGGCAGCGCGAGGCGACGCTCTCGCGACCGGTTCGTTTTCGCTCGAGGTCGAGGGTCGTCCGGCCCGCCTTCGCGCACGGGACGTGAAATTCCGAACGAACGGAGCCACTTTTCCCGCCGAAAAGCGCACGGTCGGGTCCGTGGGGAGCTGCGTTCCGGAGGGGCGTCGTACGTCGCTAACGAAGGGAAAAGAATTCCGTCGGCCTCCTTTGTCCACCTCACGGGAGAGGAGAGCCGCCGCTCTTTTCTCCTTCCACGACTCCTTGCGACGACGGAAGGAAACCGGATCGGACGAGCTCCGGGTCTGCGGGGTCTCCCGGGTCTTCTGGGTCTCCCGGTCTCCCTCCGGCAAAACGAGGAAGAGGCGATGCCGCTCCTCCAAGAGGGGAAACGACGGAAGGGATCCCGGCGCGAAAGACTCCCACGCGAGGAACGAGGTCGCGACCCGCGTCGGTACGCGACCAAAGAAAGCCGTAGCGACGCCCGCTCGGGTCGCGAACGCGAGCACGGGGCTTCGGACGTTAACGGAATTTCTTCCGAGTGCCGTCGTTGTTTACGGCACCGGATGGAATCTGTGGACGATTCGTTCCCCCCCCTCCGGCCCGTTCCGTGCGTGAGAATTCCCCGACCGTGAAGCCAGAAACGAAAGGCAGGAAAAGTGCAAGCGAGAGCATCCGAAGGAATGCGGAGGAAAAGGATCCGATGCCCCGTTGCTCCGATGGCTCCGCAAAGGGAGAATCCGGATTTCCGAATTTTCGGTCGGACGGATACGCCCGAGCGAGAATTGGAGCCTGCGAGCGGCCGTTTCGAGTCCTGCGAACTCGAAGAGAATCGAAAGTAAAACTCGCTGCGCGACCGGTAGACGTGAAATGCAAAACGGCAGTCGTGAATTTTCGCTCGAAAGCGAATCGGGAGTGGAAAAGGCTCTTCGCGATCGTCCGTGCGCGTAGCACGATACGAGCGTAAGAAACTCTCCGGGGGTCCTTTTCGACGGGATGGACTCGAAATGAACTCGTGATGGGTCCATTACGAAGGGCCATCGTATCGGATGAGGAAACCCCGGGAAGGAATGGAATTTGTTCGCCCACCGACGGAGAGGTGGAAGATCCTCGGGCCATGGTCGCACGTCACTTCGCGACGATGCGTCTTTCTTCATTTTTTTTTCCTCTCGTCTCCTGCGACTTTCCTCTCCATTTTCCCACTCGGCCGTCTCGTCCTTCTCCGAATGCGACGGAAGAGGCGGGGGCGAACGGACGGAGGTCGGCCTCGCCCTCCGCGATCGACGAGTCCGGCCGAGTCCGGCCGAGTCGTTCCTGGGAACTCCGACGCGACGAGGTCTGGAAGGGCGGAAAAAGAGGTGTGGGATGTTTGGCGTCACGTGCATGGCAAGCGACGAGAGAAGGGGCTCATCACACGGATGTCGCTGTTTCGTGTTTGACGTGACGTGACATCATCGCCCGTTGCATGCCGAGTCTCGGATGCAACCCTCCCGAGTCCTTCCTCGCTTCCGCGATATCGAGTCGTTCTCGACCGCTTTTCAATCCGAAGGAGAGGAGAGGAAAAAAAAATGAAGAAAGACGCATCGTCGCGAAGTGACGTGCGACCATGGCCCGAGGATCTTCCACCTCTCCGTCGGTGGGCGAACAAATTCCATACGGGGGGGGGGGGGGGGCGCGGGGGGGGGGGGGGGGGGGGGGGGGGGGAGCCGCAACGCCCCGAGGGCAAGAATGCCGTGGTTTTCGGCTCCGGGTTTCATTACAGGCCCCGATGGACGGGAAACGCCGATCCGTGCGTAATGACACCCCCTGTCGACCTCGCTTTGACCCCTTTTTCCTTCCGCTCCGGAATTCCTTCGTTCCTGCGTTCTCGAACGGGGTCGATCGAGTGAACGTGATTTCCTCGCTCTTCCATTTCCGGCGATTCGCGCTTCCGCGCTTTTCATCGTTCTCTTCTGACTCCTCCCTCCCTCCTCGAGATCTCGAGATCGCATGACCGAATCTAAGTAATGGACGATGGGGGCTCCCGGACGATTAGCTATTTTGGTGGTCGGACCCCCGGGGCCTTCGATTCGATCGACTCGGAACCAGGTGACACGAGATACTCGTTTCTATCACGTAAAGTCTCCGACGGATAAATGATGATGGATGAACGAAACGGTCTCCCACTGGCGCGGATTCTTCTCTCTTTCCCCCCTCCCTCTCATCTATCTACATCTTTCGGGAAATATTTGACTTGCATGCCCCTTCCACGGTCTCCCGGGGTCCAGGCATTCGTCACGAAGTCTACCGGATCCGTCGGAGACGGTGGAAGGGCCGCATCGAGCCCCGTGCCATAGTCCCGATGCGAGACGGCCGCGACGACGACCGTCGCTGTTTTTGCGATCGTTCACGGACGAGTCGACGAAGAGCGTGCGGAGGACGTCGCACGTGTCGTTCGCAGAGCGAGCCGCCTTCCGTCCGTCGATTTCATCGAACCCAAAATGGACCGTGCAACGAGGGAGAGGGCGATGGCACCCCGAGTTCCCTGCTCGCGATTCGTCGTTCCCGTCGCGTCTTGCCGCATCCTTACGCGACGGCGTCTGGACGATCCGTTTCCCTATCGCGCTGGAAACCGCCGCGAGTCCTCGCGATCCTCCGGCCGCAAGAAACGTCGATCGGCATCTTCGCGCTGCCGCACGTACGAGAAAGTGGGACTCGACGATTCGAGAGGGAAATGCTCGGGAGAGCTGAGCGTCCTCGCACTCGAGTGCGAAGCTTCCACTTCTCGTGGATGCGCCATCGAGGCGATGCCGGCGAGGCTCAATCCGCTTCTTTTTATTCGCGAACCGCTCGAAGAAAACGGAAGGGAGGGGTGGAAGAAGTAGAAAGAGGGGGACGGGTGGGAGAAATGGAATCGTGGATTTTATCGCACGATCCGTAGTCGTTCGCGAAGGAGATCGCTCTCGGTGAGTGTTGCTCTCGGTGAAGGACGCGTACGTTACTCGTACGTCGATCGTGACGAATTCGGATCGAAACATCCTCATACGGGACTTTCGGACGCGTGATGTCCATCGTGAATGCATCGTCGATGACGCATTCACGAAGAGACCTCGTGTGGTTTTGTTCACGATGGTCCCCAGGAATGGGGCACTCATCGCCCTGCGCTCGGCACGGGGCGAAACGGCGAAGACGCCGTAAAATCGAAAGACGAGGTGGAGTGACACGGCTTGCGGCAGGATTTGGGGCTCGGCGTCTTCGTCGACGCGCTCCGTCTCGGAAACGGGTAGGGTAGGACGAGCGAGACGGATGGGACGTTACGGGACGTACGGTTTCCCAAAAAAGGGTTCCGTGATGAAGTCCCTCGCCCGAGCTGCGATGCGATCGGCGATCTCGCATCGAGGACGGATCCAGCTCTCGATCCTTCGCACTCGTTCGCACGTTCGACCGTTAACGAGTCCCGTACCGTAAACACGGATGCGATCTCGGGATACGGACTTCCGGACGACCGGCGGATACTTCCTCACCGTCGCGGGTGATAAGGTCAGCGACGCTTTTAAAAGCCACCGGATCGCAACTGCCGTCTCGACGCGGATTTCACCGGTGAGACCTGGGCGAAGACTCGCGAGAATCGCCATACGTGATGCCGTGTGTCGAAATGGGGACCTCGAAGCGGCATCGCTTGTGGGTGGCGTCGGGGACGAGTTGGCGACATCTCGCCGGTCCACCGTTCCGATCGTTCCATCCGCCGTCTTGCCGTCGAGTAACAACCCTGAGCGTCTCCATTTCCTACTCTGTCGTTTTGCTATAAAATTCCCACCTCACGTTTCGCGGCGAGTTCAGCACTTCTGCTCGCCCCGGAGCATAAGAGTGAAAACAGCTCGTGCAAACATTTCGAATGAAGTTTGTAGAGATGCATCGAAATGTCGGGAAAATATTGCTTTTATTTACCCTACCCTTACGTTAAAGCCACGATCGACGCTCGTTTAAAAGCCACGCGAAACCGTTCCCGCCGTCTCGCATCGCCTGATCGAAGTTTCTCTTTTTGCGTGGAGGATGCACGAGAACACCGTCCCTCGAAAACAACACGCATCGCCACGGCAGGCGTAAATATGCGGCAGAAACATATCAATGGCGGTAAGCACGCATCAAAGCGTGATTTTATGACCGAAACGATACAGCAAGATCGACGCCCGGCGTGACCTCTCGCGGGAAAACCCACGGACATTTTTCACGTCAGAATTCAGTAGCGAGCACGAGGCGAAGAAAGACGATCGCCGAGTGAGACCTTCTCCATTTCTTAAATCGAGAGACATCTAGAAAACCGACTGCCCGGTCGGCGGCCCGGTTCGGCGAGAAAACGATTCCGTTTGCGGAACGCGGCACGTGTTTTCTCCACCCGGTCGATTCCTTCGGACTCCCGTGATCGTCTGTGCCGTCGCTTTTGCAGGGCGTTATCGCGGGTGGCGTCCACGGGACCGTCCTTGGGCCTTCGAGACCCCAGCATCTGCGGGAAGCTGGGGGAAGCCCTGGTCAAGAGACAGAAGAATTTCTGCCTTCATTACCCGAACTTCATGGAGAGCGTGATCTTCGGGGCGATCGCTGCCATCGACGAGTGTCAGTTCCAGTTCCGCAGCCGTCGATGGAATTGCTCCACCTTGGAAGACTCGGCACTCATGGCGGGAGTGGATCCCGAAGACATCCTCGAACGAGATGCCGATTCTTCGTCCGCTTCCACGTCGGTCCACGTGCTAAACGGTAAGCGTCGAAGTCGAGAATCCGTCTTCGAAGGAATCTTGCCGATCGGTTTCTTCCCGTCTCCGTCTGTCGCGAAGAAAGCCATTCGTCGCGTCTCTCGTCTGTATCACCGTCGCGAATACCGCGTCGAGAGAGGAGATTCCGACGACGAAAGACGAAACGATCCTACGATCCCAACGACCTCGCGTGTCATCCGCATCCGTGACTCCGAGCGAGAGTAGGACCCGAATGCACAAACCTCGTTTCGGGGAGACGAAGAGACCTTAAAGCCAGAGCTCTTTTGCCCTCATAGGATGTATTCTTAAAGGATCCTTAACCGAAGGAGGTTTCAGCAAGACGAAGGTTTCTGTGGAAAATGAAGTGAATAAATGAATAACATCGATGAGCACGGCCTAAAAGATTTGTTGTTACAAAGCAGAACATACAGTATGCAGCCGGCCTTCAATCCAACGCAGGAATGAGAGGAAGTATAGAGAAAGAGAGAGAGAGAGAGCGGGGGGGGGGGGGGGGGGGGGTTTTTCGTCTCAGGGGGGGGGGGGGGGGGGGGGGGGGGGGGGGACCGCAGCTTTGGAATGAGGCCTGGTGGGCTTGCCTACCCTGCGTGTTAACATGTTGCGCACGGCATTCGTTCGCTTCGGCACTCTCTCGCTATTCTCTGCACTTCTTTCGCGCAAAACGTCGGTGGCTGCTGCTCGTTCTTGTCCCACTACGAGATCTTTCGACGATATCACCTCGATCGCACCCAGATTCTTTCAAATGCGCAAAAGATTTCGAAGGTTCCGACGTTCGTACATTCATTAAGTAATGTGAAAACAATTTTTTGAAAGGTTTTCCCTTTCAACCACGACCTCAACCCCCCCACACACACTCTCTCTATGGGTCGGACCAACTTTAACGTTAAGGCCTAGCCGACGGACTATCTTCAAGTCAGGCCTACCTTTTTTCGTTCAAACGAAACTCAATCCTCGACTTACGGAGCTAATTAGGCCTATTAGGATCAATCCGTCATCTTCGAGACATCTCGTCGAGGACATGTAACATTATGCCGATCGCAGGCATATTCAGACTTTCGCGGGCCGTTTCAGAGAGAAAGTTTCATGTTAGACCGATAAGAGGCCTGTTTCGAATTTTATGAACCAGTTGTGATGGTGAATAAGGCTAAGGCCCGTGAATACGGGCCTTAGCCTTTAAGAATCGATCCGTCGTCTTCGAGACGTCTCGTCGAGGACGTATGGCGTTAGACCGAGGCCTGTTTTATGAACCAGTTGTGTGCGGACGTGGAACGTTAGGCCCATCTGGAGTTCCTCTCTCCATCTCGACTAGATCTCAGAGAGAATGCCTCCGAAAAGCATGAGATTCAAGCTGAGCGCCATCCTCGCCATTCCGGGATGTTCGAGTAAGATATATCTCCATATCCCAACGCATCGATCGGCCACTCCCAACCTCCGTTTCCATCTCGGCTCATCTCGCATGAACACGGCACAAAAATGTTCCATATATTAAAAAACAGAAGATACAAATACCGATATGAAGGTCGAAGCAGTCATGAATCCGACATAACTCTGGTACGATATCTAGCAGTACGGGACCGGAGCCAACACTCTAAGCTATTGAACGACAGCTAATATCTTCTCTTTTTTAAAATGGCGAAATGGTGCATCGCAAACAACAAAAAGAGAACTTTCCGTCATCCGCAAGTCAATATCTTTCTTTTGGTTGGTCTCTAGCCCCCCCCTCCCAGGAGTGGTTACCAAGGGGGGGGGGGGGGGAGAGAAAAAAATACCAGAATGAAATAGACATCAATCAGTGAGGATCCGTGTTCTCTGCAACTCCGGGGAGATGGAGTTTGAAACTTGCTGGAGCGATTCTGTGTTGAGAGGGTGTGAAGCATGCCCAATTTCGTTCCTGTTGATATTCTCAGAGAGGAATGCGAGGAAGTTCAATTTTGTTACAGGAAGGGATTTTCGAGCCTCGAGCAGCCACAGCTGCCGAGATTCAAAATAACCGAGAATATGCTTTCCAAGTATTTGCCTCACCTTCGCGTGATCTAGTTCCGTGCCCGTTGCAAGCGTATTTGCGGTAGGGAAGGGAGGGGGCGTAGTGCGCGCAAGGAAAATTCCTTCTCATCTCGTCCACGAAGCAATGGAATGTGTTAAATTCCTTGACTGGAATGTTTAAACCGCCTTCAGTTTACGGTTCTTTAAGAATTCATGAACTCTCATGAGGGAAAATAACTCTTTTGTTTAAAGGTCCTTTTATATCTCCTAAATGAGGTTTCGTGCACTCTTGGGACCCATGGACCCCTTTCCATTTTCTATATTCAACTAATTTTAAATAAAATTTTGTAGCTTTGCTTCGGCACGATTCAATTAAATCACATTTCTCACGTCTCACTTAATAATATCAGCCTATGCACAGTGCAAGTTTCCCGAATTGCTGCAGTAAGAGGACTTTTGGAGAAGAACTTTTCGGTTATGAGTCGTGGGTCACCTGGTCTTTCTCACCACATCTTCCTTGTTCCGCAGCGAACGCAGTCTTGGACAGGTTGGTACGTAAATTATCCCCGATACACGATACTTCTCGACAATTAGTTGTTGATAAAAAATTAATACCATCGAGTGGTACGATGATGCACGTATCGTGTGTTCCTGCACACGCTATTCCTGCAGCGAGTTCCTGCAATGCAGGGAGTCCTTACATACGCAATGAAAGTGCCTCTCTCTGCCGGCTGCCTGCCTCAAATAATTTTTTTATGAAACGGAGATTACGTGTATTGTTCTTATAGGGAATACTTTAATTCTTCTCCCAAGTATGATACATTTTTAGCCTCCACGAACGGACTATCCGTCGAAAAGACTCTTTTCGCTTGGAGCTATCAGTGGTCTCATGGCTTCGTACAGGTTTCACGGTAATTAGAACAGTGTGCGGAAAGAACATCGCGAACAAAAAATCGCAAGGAAAAAATATTACGAGGCGATAACATCGCAGAGTAAAAACATCGCGTGGGGTCCTTTAGGCATGAAAGCCTGCGAGCAAAGAGTGAAGCTTTACTTCAGTCAGGTTCTTTGCTCTCGTTGGGAGCATATGCGTTTCGTCTCGTTTTTTTTCAGTCATGTGGATTTCGCGCAAGTGAATTTTAATTTAAGGTAAGTAATTTAATTTGTTTGGGCTAATGTTCCCTGTAAACAAGGTGTAAGCCTAGGCGTACTCGAAATATACTACTGAAAAAAGAAAATATTTCGGGATCAATATCCCCTCCCCCTCCCCCCGAAAAAAGTGCCCCCAGAGGATGTACCTCAAATGTCAGATTTTTCTGAACTCAGCACCCTAACAAGTACTTGTGTACCAAGTTTCAGCTTTCTACCATATGTAGAATATACAGGGTGGAGCGTAATTACCTAGTAAATTTATGTAATGGATATAGAAGGGAAACAATTCGGACATTTATTTTAACCTAAGTGTTGATTTGGTGTTCTTCCTTGTACCATTTATTCCAATTTACCTGTAATAAGACATGATTCAACAACCAATTATAACTTTAATTACTCTTAAATACAAATAATTTCCAGTATTGTATTGTACATTTACTAGGCAGTTAGCTCCACCCTGTACTTAAAATTAGCGTCAGTCACTCACTCGTTCACGTCTGTATATATTAGATGAGGAAAAGAGGTTGTTGTCTGTCGCCGGCCGTGTCGTCAGGATTGCCAGGACGCTCTCGGTCTCGGTGCGTCATCACTAGTAAGTGGGGGTGGGGGGGGGTGGAGTGTCGATGGAGCACGGGAACGCCCCCAAGGAAACTAAAACGTCTGTCGTCGCTTTGTCGGTCGTCCGGTATCACCTCCCGCGTATTTTACGACTCATCCAGATGCACGAACCGGAACCACCGTCACGTTCGCAGTACGTCATACCGATATGACGTTCGGCGAATCGGATGCGCATTTTGGGAAACGGAACTCTTGTCAGATGTTTGGATGCCATATAGAGGAAGGTAGAGAGAGGTCTAGTTCGCCTGAGTACGGTTATCCCAGGCCGAAAAGCCATAACATGATGAGTCTCACGTATGCCTCGTGTGGTCCCATCCATGTGGATGTCCTTTCTTTTTTCTTCTATTCGAGGAGAGTCCGAGACGATGGATATTCCCATACTATGGTCGCGCCTTCGGAGCTCCATTACCTTGGATTCATTCATTTGTTGCGAAATGGGAAACATTTATTTAAAGTACGTCCCATTGAAATGCGTGACATATGGTGTCGAAAGTCTTGATTTTGATAAAAATCATTACTTCTATGATTCTATGTGTGCCTAACTTGAAATCCTCTCTTGTGTCCCTTTTTGTAAGGGTGGAGAATACATTTAGAAATACTTTCTATAATCTACGCTACGGAGACATTTCAAAAGTAGGATTTTTCCTGTACTCAGCCATCAAATAGGTACTTCTGAGGGAAGTTTATATTTTCTTTCTCTGTTTCGTTGGATCAAAAAATAATTAGGAAAATGGGACTGAAAAGAGTGCCTTGATGGGTTTTAACGAAAAATTTTTTTCCTTTGAAATGTAGACACAGGGAACTCCATGCCACCCAGTTTCAGCTTATACGTTTCCCCTTTTTGCTGGCGGAAAAAAATGTATTTGGAAAAGCGACCCGCCCAAAAGTTGTGCTCTGAGGAAACGTACAAAAAAGTTGAATTTTTCCTTAAATCAACATCACGTCCGTTATGCGTGCGCCAGCTATTTTTATATTTCTGCCTGATACGGTAGGACATGATAAATTCTTCGAAAACGTTACGTCCCCAAGAAATATGAACCCAAACAAATATTTTGGAAATTTGACATTTGACATTTGAGCTCAGTACGTCAACGGTCACGTTCTTGCCAAGTTTCAGATTTCCATGTGTCTCCGTTTGATTGAAGCAAAGAGAAATTTTTGAAACAATGTTCCCCTATTGCATGTATCACCAAAGTAGAACTTTTCCTGAATTCAGCATGTGAATAGCTACTTATTTCAGTCAGCTACTCACGATCGTCTATATATATAATAAAAGTAGAATTTTTTCTTTACTCAGCTATCCATCAGGCACTTTGCCAAGTTTAAACTTTCATGCGCCCTCAGTTTTGCTGGATCAGAAAATTCGTGAAAATACGCCTTTTGCAAAATATGTGCCTTCAGCCGTTTTAACCGAAAAGTAAATTTTTTTATTACCGAAATCAATCCTCAGAGAA